GGATTGCCTGTGCAATCTCTGTAGGGTCCAGGTATCGCCTCATGCTACCGATAGTGATACTGACCCTAGCCAAATGCAAAACTAGTGAAAAACTGCCAGAAAAGATGAGTAGGGAAAAAAATGTCATGGCCTTCACCTGTAAAACCATTCCTGGTTTGGGTGTCATCTCATTGTTGCCCAACTAGTACACCTGTTGTTAATTTCATCAACACTAAAGCAGCTGAAACTGCCATTTTAGTACATTTTGTACTACAGTGATTGCCCATTTGTTGCATGAGTATTGTAAAAATGTACTATTGTCTGAGTATTTTAATGACTGCCCATTTGTAGTCTATGTATTATAATTTTTTGCCTCAAGCCACTTCTGTTTATAGGGCCATATTACAATAAAAGCTATTGTTCCCATGTTTCACTGCAGTGTGCCACAACATTCAATTAAATAAAAATTTATTTTCTGGTTAGTATTCATTTAATTTCATGATTATAATTAAAAATGACTTTGTCCATTTTAAGGGGAAGGTATTAAAAATAAATCTATCTAAGGTGTCAAATACATTAAATATGCTGCTAGTGTGTCATATTCCAGACACAGTAGACACATTTTCATCACTTATCTTTCAGCTACAATTCCACTTTCATTTCACCTGTTGTACACGCATGCCCAAAAAGTGTAGGATAGCTATAGGAAGTGCAAAGCAAGCAGGCCCTCTTTAAATCTAGAGATTTTAAACAATTGGCAGGCAAATTTCTCAGTTTCTGTGGTTCACACTGAGCCTATCTGCCTTAACATCTGGGTGCCAAAGAACCCTTCTGGCTGCACATATAATGAAACTAGGAGCCCTAGCTTTGGGATTCCGGCTTTGTCACATCTGCCGCCAAGACAGTTATTGGCACATAGACATAAAGTGGATTGGGGCAGTGTAAATCATAGGAGCAGTGTTAGCAGATTGCCAGATTGCCAGATATGTTCATCTCTGTTTAAATATTTGCTTGACACTCCAGCACACATTCAACCCAGACACTTGAAGGTTCCCAGAGGTTCAGCTGGAGGGAAAATCACATCAGAGATTAACTAATATACTGTATTTATACTGAATCAGGCAAAAGTTTGCTATGCATATCAAGCAACTGATTACTTCTGATAACCTTTCTTTTTTTTCACTGGTTTTAAGTGTTTACACTAAAAAGAATGGAAGGTTTGCTATATATATATATATATATATATATATATATATACTGTATATAGTATATATATTTATTTTATTTTTTTATGTTCAAGATAAATCAATTTGAAAATTTATTTATTTTACTGTTTGTTAGGATTATATATGTAAGTGCATTTATATACTTTATCTCTCTCATTTAGGCTAAGTTCACACTCATGCAGTGCGGTACATCGCATGTGATTCTCACAGGAACCGCACCGCATTCCTGTGCAAATCACATGTGAATTGTGTGCGGTGTGATTTGAGCCATACATTATGTGTGGCTCAAATTGCACTGCATCCTCACCAAAAAGGTGCAGGACCCTTTTTTGGGTCCGCACTAGAATCGGATCGTATGGGTATTCACACCTATGCGATCCGATTCTGCACATCGCACCTCGTTTTGTGGACCGATTTTGGGGTGTTGTTAACTCAACATACACAGCGCAGCGGTTCGCATGACCGGGGTGCGATTCTGATGTGGTGCAGAATTTGCACAGAAAACAATGAGAATTCTGGACCACATCAGTGTGAACCCAGGCTCATTCTCTCTCTCTCTCTTTTATATATATATATATATATATATATATATATATATATATATATACTGTATGTGTATATGTATATATATATATATATATATATTGTATCAATCATGCACACAGAGATGGACGCGATCATCCATTTTGCTCCAAACCCCTCCATTTTGTATCTCTCTCTCCCAAATCAGCTTTCCTCATCCCCCCTCCCTCTCTGTTGAGTGACATGTGGTCTGTTTGATGAATATCACACGTAGCGAAATCATTGGGAGGGTGTCATGGCTATAAACCTCACTAGCTAGGTGCCCCGATGTCTGCCAGACTCTTGCTAGAGAGGGCTCGTAAAGCCATAAACCAAGTCCTTCACTGAGCTCAAAGTCATTCCAGGGAGTCATAAAAAAAAGACTTACATTTAAAAACTCACTTTTTCATATAGGTTTATATCATCAAATAGGACATAATTACATAAACATGGAGCCCATATTCGGACGGCTGACTTTAAGACAAGTCTCTTGGTATATCACACCCCCTATCTGGCATATGCAGGAGAGCAGAAAATTATATCTCCGTAACCATTCAAGCAGATATTTCATATCTCACCATTCAGTAGAAGATTCTGTGTATTAATCTACTCATGGATAGAATGTTATATGTGTCCAGGGTAAGTTATGAACCATAATATAATTTGTGCATGCTTTGGTCGTACCCTGAGGTCTCCACCTACAACTCCCTCCCCAAATGAGGCGATTGGTTCTCTATTTCAGGGAGACACCCTGTGCAGTTGCTAGAAAAAGCTAAGCTGAGCTGAGTTAAGTTAAGTTGAAGAATTCTCCCTTTTTAACATCGGAACCAACTTTGGGAGAAAATGCCCATTGCTCAGAAAACTTGAAAGCTGCTTAATCCAAGGCTTTTGGCAAGTACTTCATCTATCTAAATTCCTTTCTGTTATCGCTTTGCTGTGCTATTGCTTTCTGTATATTTATATATATATTGGCTACATATTTTTCTGTAAATATTTTTATTGCACCCTTTTGAACTTTTAGTAATCTTACTTTCTGAAAGTGTTGAACTGTTTCTAAAGCTCTTTAATGCAAACTCAGAACCCCTGCCTCTGAAAAGCGCTACTGTGTGTGTGCTTTAAACTTCAGTATATCTATGCCTGCGGTGACAGTGGTATACCAACGATTATTCAAACATCATAGTGTTATTACTAATATTGCCGAGTTTCCTCTTTCTCTGTACAAAAAGGAGGTAGTGGCAGTGTGAAGGGTTAATTGCGTAATTAACCTGACCCAGTAACAATCACGCTCAGGCTGCAGGTACATCGGTTGTGGTCCATTAGCTGGAAAATTGTTGTGCAGCTGGGCGTGGCATTGTTATGCACGTGACATCGCGGTTTTAGATTGGCTAGTCCTTTGGTCACGAGTTTGGTGAGAAGGGGTCTGATGCCGCGATCGTCACACATATATATATATATATATTACATATATTAATATATTTACAGCCAGCTCTGAGCTCCATTTAAACTGTTTACCAATTTACCAAACTGTTTACCAAAGCAGAAATTAATTTAAATTTATTTGCTAGTAAGAGCAGTTTTTTGGTAGAAGAAACTTAGATAGGAATTGATTTACTAAAGGCAAATAGTGCAATTTTAAAGTGCAGTTTTACTAATTTTCCCCAGAGCATAGTTAATGTGGTGAAGCTTCATTTTGCAAAGAATACCCAATCAAGTACAAAGAAAAAAGAAAATGTTGCTTGCACATGATTGGATGATGGAAATCAGAAGAACTTCACATTCACTAAGCTCTGGGAAAATGAGAAACTGCACTTGCAAAGTGTACAGTCTATTTGCACTTAGTAACCCGACTCCTTTGTCTCTTTTGCCAAAAAAGTCTTTATTTCTTACTATCAGATTTTATTGTCTTACCAACACTGGGTGCTGTGCATGCTTGTACATGTGCATCTGTAAGATGCCAGAATGGAGCTTGGTGGCAGGATGGTGCAACCTGAAGGAATTCCATTATCGTAGGCTACCCTGTGGGTGAAGGAAAGAGACAATGGCAGCAGAAAGTCCTAAAGCATAGGTAGCACTATTGGCTGTGTAACAGCAAGAGAGAATACGGAATTGTCATTGCTGTGCAGCACAAAGCCAGAGGAATGTGCTCCCCCCAGCCCTCAATTTCTGTTTAACTCCTGTGCTGAGATTGCCTATTGTTTACAGATCTGAAGAGCTAAAGCACTAGATACAAATACAGCTAAATGATCAGAGTGTTCTAGCTTCTTCCTACCCTGTTTTTTTACAGGTCCGTAGAGTTGCAGGAGTCTCCACATGTTGTAGACCAGGTGTGTTACAGTGGAATAAAATGGATGATTATTAACACATACACATATATAGCAATTCTCTAGGAGAGAATTCCTACTAGATGTTCTGTAAAAGAGGTATTTATACAGTGTAGCAAGCACGTTCCTATATGGTTAAAGACATTATGAAAACTAGGCAGGACATTTTTTCAAAGAAGCCACACCATGTATAAAATGTAAGCCATTTGCAGGATAGCCTTTAACATGGTATTAGATGGCTATGGCTATAAAATAATTATGCATGCTTCTTTAACCACTTGTCTACCGGCACTTTCACCCCCTTCCTCCCCAGGCCAATTTTCATCTGTCAGCGCTGTCACGCTTTGAATGGCAATTGCGCAGTCATGCATCACTGTACCCATAATACATTTTTTTGAGACAGATAGAGCTTTCTTTTGGTGGTATTTAATTACCACTGGCTTTTTATTTTTTGATAAACAAACCAAAAACAACTGAAAATTTTGAAAAAAAAAAAGTTTTTTTCTTAGTTTCTGTTATAAATTTTGTAAATGAGTAATTTTTCTCCTTTACTGATGTGCGCTAATGAGGCTGCAGTGATGAGCACTGATAGGCTGCACTGATGGGCACTGATGGGCACTGATGATGAGGCACTGGTAGGTGGCACTGATGGACATTAACAGGTGTCACTGGTGGGCATTGACAGACATCACTGATGGGCACTGAAAGGCAGTACTCATATATGGCACTGATAGGCGGCACTGACTGGCACTGTTAGGCAGTACTAACTGGCACTGTTAGGCGGTACTGACTGAAACTGTTAGGCAGCAATAACGGGCACTGATAGGCGGCACTGACGGACACTGATAGGTGGCACTAACTGGCACTGATAGGTGACACTGATTTGCAGCACTCATAGGCGGCACTGACTGGCACTGATAGGTGGCACTGACTGACACTGATAGTTGGCACTGAAAGGCAGCTCAGATGGGCACTGATATGTGTCATTGATTTGCACTGGTAGGCACTGATATGTGGCATTGATATGCTCTGATGGGCACTGACAGGTGGCATTGATGGGCACTGACAGCTGGCATTGATGGACATTGACAGGTGGCACTGATGGGACTACACTGATCATCAGGGAAATGATCATCAGTGCTCTGATGATCAGTGTAGATGTCCCCTCTGAGGAATGCCGATTACCAGCTCTCCTCTCTTCACGAGCTGTCAGCGTGACAGCTCGTGAGGAGAGAAATACCGATAACTGGTATTTCCTTATTTACATGCGATCAGCTGTGACTAGACACAGCTGATCACATGGCAGAGCCAAAGTCATCAGCTCTTTCCACTGATCGGCAATCCGCTGTGTCCCAGGGACACAGCACACCACCAATTACCGTGCTGTGCGCCCCCGGTGGCGTTCACACGCGGTTAGAGTGGGAGGATGTCATATGACGTCCTCCCAGAACGAGAGAACCGTTGCCCGTCGATGGGGGAATTCAATAAAGCTGCTACACCATTTTGTGGGCATTAATCCCTCTTGTTGTATTGCTCCCAATGCATTTGGGACACTTTTGGCTCTGACAGCGACTCATGCACCACATTCTTGTAGTTCTAAAATGCATCACTTTTACATTGTGCAGCATTAAATATGCCATTTCTACACTGTGTCACATTGAATGTGTCAAATTTAAAAGTGGACCAACTCTCTTATGGCATACAGAGAAAAACTGTCTCAGACAGATTTTGTGAAAGCGTCTCGAGTGCATTCTAAAAGAGGTGACAAATTCAAGTATGAGTTCTAGACAGGTACATGAATTTGACACATTCTTCACCACTATTAGAATGCATGGGAGAAACTTTCACAAAACCTGTCTGCACCAGTCTTTATGAATTTTAGGGATTGAGGGCTCATTATAGGAGTAAATCTTACTAGTTTCTGGCCAACTTTCAATTTCTGCATTTGATATACATGATGAATTAATTAATACAAGAGAGAAGGTATCACTGATCCCAAATCCTATGCAAAACCAGTGTCATCTGTGCCCCCATTACATGTTTCTTTAGAATTTAAAGATTTTATTTATCCAAAAACAAAATAAACATCTGCTTAAAAACACCAGCAGGTTTAGACATTTATTTTCCACTCTTCATTTATGTTATTCTCTAAAGTCTCATCCTTCTGTGTAGCAGGAATGAGCTTTGAGTTTGTGTTGACCATGAGTTTCACTCAAACCCAAGCTGTTTGCAGTTCACCATAGTTGTAGTTCACTTGCAGCTGGAAGTCATTCATTTAGGGGTCATAATACTACTGCCACTAAATGATAGCTTTTATCCACCCATCAGCTTGTTTCAAATTCTAAACAATGACTAAGTAACAATTAAGTCTCCAGGTATCACTCGGTGTAATTTAATGTATTCCTGATGAAGGATGATCAGCCCTCGCTAGCTTATGACTAAGGGTTTGGTTTCTCTGAAAATCCCAAATAAGGGGTTTCTGAAACTCAGGAATTTATGGGTAAGCTTGGAATTGGTCTGTAAACTTCTCTTATTAGTATTTACTATTTTTCTTTCTCTCTCAATATTGAAGAGCAATCACCAGACTTGACAGAACTAGAGGTGGAATTAGCTGTTTTAGATGGTAACCCACCTTTTTTCAAGGCAAACATGAAAGTTCTCCTACATTGAAGAAGTTTGAGTGCACCCAGACCCTCTTTGCTCATGAGTTACTGGGTACAGGTGCTATCCATTTCCTAAAATTTACAGCATGCTTATCATTTATTGTGCAAATAAATATTTATTACATAGCCAAGGACTCCTAGGTCTTCGGGTTAGCTAGTGATACAGCACAGCACAACTACCTCCTATTCAGGCACACTGCCTTGAACTGGAACTTTACACTTAATCATCCAATAAGAAAAAAAACTCACTCATCTTATTTCCTAACTTGCATGTATGTGCAGATATCACCTTTAGTTACAAATCTCAGTAATCCACAGGCTTTTTATAGCATGCCTTAAAATGACAATACAAAATTACAAAAATAGTTTCCCCCACTGGCTGAATATAAACACAAAAATATTAACATGCAATATTATTATTTATAGAGATGAGCGAATTATTCAAAAATTCGATTCGGCTGATTCGCCGAATTTGCGGAATAAATTTGATTCGATGCGAATTTATTCGCTGCGAATTTAACTTATTAAAAGGGTTTCTAGGCTTCAGAGAGCCTTTATATTAGTGCAGAACACTGTACCTTTAATTTAAATGCCCTTGGAGTCTGCTGGGGAAGAGAAATAATACTGTCAGTCAGTATGACATGCAGATGAGTGCCGTCGATCTTAGAATCACCGCACACTTCACTCATTTGGGCCAGTCACGGGGCACGACGAAGAAGATGAAGAAGAAGATGAAGAAGAAGAAGAATGAAAAGAAGAAGAAGAAGAATGAAAAGAAGAAGAAGAAGAATGAAAAGAAGAATGAAAAGAAGAAGAAGAAGAATGAAAAGAAGAAGAATGAAAAGAAGAAGAATGAAAAGAAGAAGAAGAAGAATGAAAAGAAGAATGAGAAGAAGAATGAAAAGAAGAATGAAAAGAAGAAGAAGAAGAATGAAAAGAAGAATGAAAAGAAGAAGAAGAAGAAGAATGAAAAGAAGAAGAAGAATGAAAAGAAGAATGAAAAGAAGAAGAATGAAAAGAAGAAGAAGAAGAATGAAAAGAAGAATGAAAAGAAGAAGAAGAAGAATGAAAAGAAGAAGAAGAATGAAAAGAAGAAGAAGAAGAAGAATGAAAAGAAGAAGAAGAAGAATGAAAAGAAAAGAAGAATGAAAAGAAGAAGAAGAAGAAGAAGAAGAACGAGAAGAAGAATGAAAAGAAGAATGAAAAGAAGAAGAAGAAGAATGAAAAGAAGAAGAAGAAGAATGAAAAGAAGAATGAGAAGAAGAATGAAAAGAAGAATGAAAAGAAGAAGAATGAAAAGAAGAATGAAAAGAAGAAGAAGAATGAAAAGAAGAAGAAGAAGAAGAATGAAAAGAAGAATGAAAAGAAGAAGAAGAAGAATGAAAAGAAGAAGAAGAAGAATGAAAAGAAGAAGAAGAATGAAAAGAAGAAGAAGAAGAAGAATGAAAAGAAGAAGAAGAAGAATGAAAAGAAGAAGAAGAAGAAGAATGAAAAGAAGAAGAAGAATGAAAAGAAGAAGAATTCCAGTACAGCAAAAAGTGTATCTGCAGAGAGCTCCGCTATTTCTGACAGTTCTCTGACAGTTCCTTCACATTTACAGCGGTTGAAACATTGTATCTATTTATTTCCGAATAAAAACATCTGTATCCTAAATGGAAACAAATAGATACAATGTTTCAACCGCTGTAAATGTGAAGGAACTGTCAGAAAACTGTCAGAAATAGCGGAGCTCTCTGCAGTGACACTTTTTGCCGGCTGATCGGGGAAAATTCGATTCGTGCATCCGAAGTTTGCTAAAATTCGGATTCGGTGCGAATCGAATTTTTCCTAATATTCGAAACGAATTCCACTTCGCCAAGTTCGATTCGCTCATCTCTAATGTCATGCTTTAAAATTGCGTCCACCTGTAGTACCTTAAAATCCCCATTGGTGACACTTTAAAGCAGATTACCAGTTTAGGGTTACACAGGAGGTTTGGAGCTAGAATTATTATCACTCATTCGCGATTGCTGTCTACATATGCATGTGGGACAGACACACGCGTTCACATTTTTGCGATCACAATCAGATGAGAATGTTTTAAAAAAAGTTTTATTATTTACTTTATTTAAAAATGTTTTTTACACTGTCGCTTTAATATTATTGTTCAATGTTATTGCTGTCACAAGGGATGAACAACATCCCTTGTGATAACATGGGCTGTGACAGGTCCTCTATATGGAGAGATCTAGGGTCTATTAGACTCCAGATGTTTCCTATGGCCTCCAATGCAGCTGATCAGACAAAGATGGGTCTGATTGACTGCTTCACTGGCTGGTAACGGTCAGGTATACAAAGAACCAAAACCAGAAGGGACAAAAACTTCCTAGATTATGGTTTCTGACATCACACAGTGAGAGGAACAACATCAGTTCGGTTGAAACATTGTATCTATTTGTTTCCGAATAAAAACATTTGTATCCTAAATGGAAACAAATAGATACAATGTTTCAACCGCTGTAAATGTGAAGGAACTGTCAGAGAACTGTCAGAAATAGCGGAGCTCTCTGCAGGGACACTTTTTGCCAGCTGTAGAAGGGATGAAAATCGGCCGATCGGGAAAAATTTGATTCGTGCATCCGAAGTTTGCTAATTTTCGGATTCGGTGCGAATCGAATTTTTCCTAATATTCGAAACGAATTCCACTTTGCCAAGTTCGATTCGCTCATCTCTAATTATTTACCTGACAAAAAAAAAGAGTAAACCAAACTGCATTTTTTTATATTTTAAGTCCTGACCATCATAAAAAAGTAATAAAAGAAAGAGAAAAATAAAGAAATATGTATGCAACCACTATGCAATTCCTTTACCAAAACTTCTTATATTAATACCTGCATTTCACTGGCACTCATGCACAATCTCAGCCATGTGTTTCAGCGATTTTATTGGTAGCAAAGGGAATTAAAAGCAAGCAAACACACATTCATAGCAAAGTTTTCCAACTCTATCCAGTTGTTCAAAAGTACTTCTTCATCATGTATTTAAACACTTGAATTTGGTTCATTTGTGTGGTTATCGGACTCTCAGCTAATCCCTTGTTAGAGAACGAATCAGCTTATAGAGAATGAAACTGGCATGATGAAACAGAATACAGTCTGCACGAGTCATATTGTAGCTTTTCACGCCCAATGGCCATAAATTATTCAGTTTCTTTGGAGATAGGGTTTAAAAGATTAAACATAGAGGGGACTGGATGTACAGAACGGTACCGCAAGTGAACATCTAAAAAAATCTAGGCTTTTATTCTGTAAAATGGTACATTTTTATATGAGATTTAAACCCTTGTTTAATGCGGAACAGAAAAGCAATCAGGAAAGAGTAAGACATTCTACATGCCATTATCAAAACTGATTTTACATTTCACAGCGATCTTTGTTCAGTACGATAGCATTTGCTCGCATTATGGCAAAACTGACAATTTTAAAAGCAAACATCTATCTACTATGTAACTTTAGCAAGTAGTTAAGCAGGTTTTGAGGGTTGCTTGCAATAACTTGGTAATGTCAAACTTGGGCATTAACTCAAAACATGGATCTCTAGCATTGGCTAAAAATTAAAAAGCAGCTCTTGCGTCTATACTCACCCAGTCTCCAGTGTCCCCTG